GCGGAAAGCACCCGACTGTCTCGTTCTGGCGTAAAGCAGGACCAGGGGACCGAACTCACACCTGCGGTCAACGGCCTTGGTCGCAGCACTCGACATTCCAGCCATAGGGCGTTGAAACAACTCCGATCGACCGAGTACCGAGGAAAGCTACGCAACAGTCTCTGTCTTCCGCCACAACAAAATTCTTGTAACGGACTAGTAATCGATACACATAATCAGTTGGTGAGTAGGCGGAGATTTTTTGAATTATGTCTATCTTCGTTCATAGTAAATCCAATTAGTGAACGAGTATATTATTTCAATTTCAAGCAGTATCTCAGGTGGTCACGTACATGATCAATCTTGCTGCTTTCGATGCTCCAATCCATATTTCACTTTCCAGTTCTCTGGTCAACAAACTCAGTTCGCTGTTTCGTTTCAGCACAAATTAAAGCTTAATTATTATCGGTATATGATCTCATGCGATAACTGCGATAACTCAGCTGACTCGCACTGTTTGGAATCTTCGTTGAGTTTCCAAACTAAGTATTCTTTTCGAACCGTTACCAATCACGAAAAGACTGGTTTAAACGGAGCATGTATTGAAGCATTACTTCACCGTCTGTAACCTTTTTCAAAAACAAACAACCAGAACATATGGCTTCACCAAACACACCATCAACCACTGGGTTTCGGCACATTCTCTCGAACCTCTTGACACTCGTTGAACCATCTCTCCAGATACTGAGTACAGCACAATTCGCAGGACTCAATGCTGAACTGAAACGGTTCCCAAAAGGGGGCCGAGAGACCTGGTGAGCACAACGCGCTTCCGAGATTGATCTAGCCGCTGCTTCCAGTAATGTCCACTAATTTTCCCGTCTAATCCGACCCACCGGTAACGAAAAGCTATGCGTCAGTGAAACCATATGCGAAACTAATGGTGGATGTATCCACAGTCTATGACGTCGGCTTAGGCGCTGATCGGAGCACTTCCGTCAACAATGCGGTTGGTCATCGACATCACCATATCCTAATGTACGCAGTGCTCCATTGTCTGGAAATTTGGTCACCCACAGAGGATGAAGTTTCCCGAAATCTCAGACTTCTGAAACGCCACAAATCGCCCGGACCAGACAAGCTCCCTCTAGTCCTTTTCGAGAACGGTGGTACAAGTTGTGTTGGAGAACTAACTTACTTATTCTAAGCCATCTAGAATACTGAATCCGTTCCATCTGAATGGAGCTTTTTTATGACACAATGTGAATTACAGTAAACGGGGAAATCCCCATGGACCAATGGCATACTCTAAAAGGAAGAGTAGGAGAACATTCACATCAGATTCAGTTTATTGATTCTGCGTTTAAAAAGTATAAGATATTAAGTTAGGGGAAAAACAACAAGGAAGGTTTCACAGTTTGGCAGTTCGGGGAAAAAAGAAGATTGGAGTAGAGAGGTACGACATGTGGGAACAGAAACCTGATAAGGATGACTAGATGCATGTGTACGGGATGGGCGTGTCAAAGTTGCAGAAAGAGGAACTGCCGATGCAAGTTCCGAAGAACAAAAACCAAAGTAGTAGCGGTAGAACAGGGACAATGAAACAACTACCCGACGGCTAGCGACTGTAGACTGGATGTTAGAGAAGGATCATCGATTAGCCGGATGGCCTTTCGTTGAACACGATCAAGAACGGAAAGGGAAGAGGTCGAAGCCCCACCCCACACGTGACTACATTATTCAAAGCAGGGCGGATTTGAGCTTTGTACAATAAAAGAAGTCTTTGGCTTTACGGCGAACTAAGCTTTCTTTGGTTCTCTGAATGGTCGTCGAGCACCTGTTCCCAGTTTTAACGAAGCGATGGTGGGAGAGGGGTGGGGTGGGCGAGCGGCGCTAGCAAGTCCAGTCAAGTCATTAGTAGCTTTATGCACCCGGATGAGTGTATTTTCAGCAATTACACCGTATTTGTGGATTCCAATTTATAAAATCATTACTTAATGAACCTGAAAGCAATGAAGCAAGCGGTTGCGCAATTTCGTCCTTGTCTGTGAGTAGGCGTGCTAGATATGACAGAACAGAATTACGATAAGCAGAGGTACGTGCAAATAAAAGTTTAAATCTTGAACGTATTGATGATGTAGATACAGCTTTTGAAAATTCATTGTGTAATGGGTGGTGAGTGTCAGAGTATTTTGGCGGTGAAACTTCCGCATGCTTGTAGATGTCTGTCAATGATAGAATCGGCGAGTTTATCCCTGACAATACCACTACATTTAGATATGTGCTTCAGAGATCTCGCCAGTAAATAAAAGTCTTTCTTCAACATACCGGGAAAAGTTACTGGAGAGCAATACAACTAGTGGGGTAGCACGCATGCATGCATTCACAAATATAACAATCAGCTTGTGGGGAACAGAAAGTAATCTCAATCGGAGTGAGAAATATGAAAGTTTTCTAACTTTACAGAATGTGTTTTGAATGTGCAGTGACCATGATAAATTGTGTGATAGGGTGACGCCAAGGTATTACTATTTTTGATTTCGGTAATGGATGTTGATTTGCATATAGGGTGGGGAACCTATCTCTAAGGGCTGAATATGGTACATCGGGAGGGAAAACACAACATCCTGACATTCAGAGGCATTCAATGAGAGGGACCGGGACAGGGACCAAGTGACAATGTCGTTCATCTTGCTTTGAATTTCTTAGGCCTCTTCAGTGGTGGATTCTTTGCAACCTATAACAACGTCATCAGCGTATTTACAGTCAATGAATGCAGGAGGAATGGGAAATTGTTTGACATACATAGAAAAGAAAAGTGGGGAAAATATTGCACCTTGCAGGACTCCAGAAGAAACTGGGCGAGTGGAGGACTTTTTACCGTTGAGACATGTAAACTGCGACGGAAAGCTGAACGTTTAAGGTGTGTAGCACGGTCACACACATGGTTGAACCACTCAGGGGATTTGGGTTTGCCGGGTTTGGAAAGGTGCGGAATAAAAAGATGCATACTTGAAGAACAACTTGGGTAAAGTTGGAAACGGATTTGGAAACATCCGAAGGGAAACAACAATCATTCCGGGGATAAGCAGCTAGGAAACCTCGGAAACAGTCCCAATCGGCTGAGTTGTAGCGCCAGAATGTGTCTCGAAATGGGTGGTGGCTCGGAGTTTGAAAACATAATAGCACAAGAAACAGTACGGTGATCTGATGAGCCGAGAAGAGGGGGGGTATGAATATCTGAGAAGAAAGAAGGGACCGAAGTGAGAATTAGATCGAGGGTGTGGACGCGATCGCCAGCTGGATCAGGGACGCGTGTGGGGAGATCAACTAGTTGGCTGAGGTTGTTGACCAAGGCGAAGTGTTCGGCTTCGCACCCCAAAGGAGAAGAAGCAGATGAGTTGGGTGGACGTTGTACCTGTTTTCCTGAAAGGCCCCGCCACGATTGCTTCAATCACCGAAGAATTTATCTCATCTNATCTCCGTTGCTTCCAAGGTGTTAACATCGTTGATTCTTCGCAGGCTCAGTTGGACGAGAGAGCGTCATATTCGCGAAGAACAAGCTGAATTTCGCTTCGACCGGAGCTGCGGTGATCCCATAATAAAGCTACAGCATATTCTCGAGCGACGTCAAACGTTCACTAGGCCGAACACCGTTGTCTTTTTGGACATACGTGCTGCGTTTAACTCAGTTGATAGAGCAGCTCTCTTGAGGTCGTCGATCGCTTTATTTACCTCGGGAGTTGTTTCAGCTCAAGAGGACTGACTGAAGAAATATCAGCGCGAATCCGCAAGGCTCGAGTGGCTTTCGCCAGCCTACGTCACTTGTGGCGCTGACGCAGTTCCAGTCTCCTTGAAAGGCTTCGTTTACATTGCCATAATACGCACTCTCTTACTCTAGGGCCGCGAGAGTCGACCTCCCCACGAAGAAAACGAATGGACATTGAATGTCTTTGATCACCGTTACCTTCGTTGCATCGCCGGAATCCGTTGGCAACAGCGAACCAACAACGACGAGGTTCGCCGAAGTATCTTCGCCTCCGACGTCTCGGTCGTCTGAGTGTTGTCATCTCGCTCCAGAGACGTATGTTCCGCATGCTCGCTCAACGACTGCCCCATCGTGTTGTGTTTGCGTAAGCCAACACTAACCAGAAGCGGCTATGAAGTGGGCAGCGAATATCTGGGCTCGAACGCTGAGGGCGTTAACCTCAGTGGACGCTCTAGACTCCGAGGTTGGGGTCTCAAGGACAGTGAACATCTATGGCTTGAGGTAATCGCAGACCTGGCCAGTAACCGGCGCCACTGGTGCACCTTTTGCAAACCTCATTCGTTGAATTGTATTTAAACCCTTTTCACATATCTTGCTTCCTATGCTGTGGCAAATTTGCCAGTTCTATGTAATGTAATTGGCTACGTGTTAAATAGATAAATATAGATCAAGTCTAAAAGCTACGGTTATCAGTGACCATAAGTGAAGAGCTTACCTCTTTTACCCTCTATCAGAATGGTGTGTAATAGAAAAATACAACGACGGGCGTCGCGTAAAGGACAAAACTTATTGAGCTAAATTGGAGGACTGGCCATCTTTCCCCAACTGGGTGGTATTTCATTTGTTGCACTAGTATCTTTTTCCTTTTCATTTTACTTCTTTTGATTGAGTGTACAGAGCGAAAATTTCCAGAAAGGGGGAAGCGGCCAATCAAAGGACTGCCAGTCAACACAATCAGAAATCAGACGGTGGTTGTGAGATTCGAACATATATCCTCGGGGTGATAATTTTTGTTGGGGTTACTATCGGGCCACCACCACCCAGGTTACTGCTCCCAGTCCTTGTGTTTTAGTCTACGTGAATCTGGATCCATCTTTTCAACTTTCCTTCTTCGTACTAAATGTGCACTCTAGATCAACCATCATAGTATTCGGATCTCTGACATAAAACTGGAAAAAGATGCACTGTTGATCAGAGACCCATCAGAGTCTATCTGTCCCTTCTGAGTTGTTTCATACAGTGATATTTTGGAAACTAACTTTCACAAAAGAAAACTGATGGCTCTACATGTGGCTTTCGTTAGAATCAGGAACCGTCAAAGTGTTTCCCGTTTTTTTTATATTACACACCTAAGTGTGATGAACAGCAGACGGGGCGAAAACCCTAGTCACAAGGACCTGCTGTTCAGTGGTGAAAACTGGCAACCTAAGCCCTGGGACTCGGATTGGTGAACCACATAAAGCTCCGATAGGTTAGGTATGGTATTGAACCGACCGACAGCAGATCTTCCTACCACCAAAGTTGAG